CCTGAGTGAATAAATACCCGATCTGCAGCGACAGAGAATGGCAGGTGGCGAGGCACTGATGAGCCTCGGTTCGATGAAGTGCTTATGGCCCATCTGGTAGACCCCAGTGGTGGACCAGGTGCGTCTGTGCGCATGTTTGTGTTTCCGGTCCCAGCTGGTGGTCAGGGTTATGGTTGGCTGAATGAAGGCAAACAAGCCCGAAACAGTGTCGTATCAATCTACCTCCCAGACTCTGTCGTCTCTCCTCTGGCACCATAGCTTGGCCGACTTCGTCCTGGTAGGTTATTGCCTGTTCGTGACTCCTATCACCCATGCAGAGGCTATTTGCCTCGGAGAACCAATGGATCGGTGTGTTATCATTCCTGCGTGATATATATGTATGCGTGAAGATTCGAGGTCGACCTATATTATCGTGTTCATCATCCCCCGAAGAAGACGAAGAAGAGAAGGCGATTTAATGGACCAGGTCGTTGACTAAATGGCTACCCGGTCTTTAAGGGGTGGTGGCCTACACTAAATACAGGGCTGAATGCGTATGCTATGCCACGCTTCAGCAAGTGATGGCCCTTGCAGCCTGGTGGTTCGGCTAACTGTTATGTTGACCAAACGGTGACGCCGTTCAGGTTCTTATTCCTTTCGAATTTGGCCCCGACTGTCGGCTTCTTTCAGGTTACTACCTGAAAACATGGGCGGCGTTTTGAAAGCCCGCCTCGGTTGCATATCTTGCCCATCGGGATCGACATACCAATTGGCCTGGCATACCACAGTACAGTCGGCTTATTCAGTTATGATTAATACTTTCATAAGTATGAGAATGTGAGGACTAGTAGCGTTTTATCTTGGACAATGTAACTCGTCCGGCGTAAGTACACAACACTCTTCTTCGATGACAAAGAGTCTTGTTCCACACGGTATCACATCTAAGTCAGTTATGTGAAATTGATGCGTCCTCCTTTTTCTATTGTTACCTGTCCTAGTCAAATTTTCATCAAATACTGTCCTAGGTGTTCTCTCTTCATCGCATTCTTATCAAAACTAGCGTTTCTACCATTGGTTATCCACTCCAGCTTTTATTCACCATCTCAATAATAACATTCTTTTCTTTTTAAACCTTTTAGCAGTAGACTTTTCGGAGTAGCGTGGACACCTAGCGTTTTGGAGTCTCTACCCACATGGGAAACACTCAGAATGGTCAGGTGCCCGTGGCTCCCTCCTCTTACGAGCAGCTTGTACAAACCTCGCCCTGTCCAACATGTAGAGGCACAGGGCAAGTGCCTACTGGTAGGCTTCTTACTCTGTACTGTCGAAACTTGCTCACTTTAGACTCCGACAGTGAGTACATCGCGCTGATTCCTCTGACGGATCGGCGTCTTCGACCCCGACGCACAACCATCAAGCTGATCCTTACCGTCCTCTTTTGTCTTACCGTTTCGACCTTGACCCTCTTCTTCCTCTTCCCTCGATCTATTCTTCTTACCAGCTCCTCGCCCCTCCTGTTGCCGGCTATAGTTAACATCACTGACGAGGATGTTGTCAACCTCGTCGTCTCGGTATGTTTTACGGCAGCTGCCACCATTCTGACCTAAAGCCTACTTCTTTAGAATGTGTTTAATTTCTCCAACTTCAATTTTGTGCCAGTCAATGTTCGCTCGATATCAGTGATGTCGCTGTACCACTCTACTATGATCAACAACTCCATGGTTGATACGAATACCTGGGTCTCTCCACGTTCGACGCAGAAACTCAACGTGAGCCTTTGTCTCAGCTTCGACGCCGACAGCTTCAAGCCATAGTAAGGAGCGCTTTTATAACCTCCGACTATCGAGTCTCTCCCTTAATAGTCACTTTAACTTCAGTTATGGGCATAGTAAGGCTTTGGGGATAGAAATGCTCCCTTGCACCACTACTTCTCATGAAATTGATTTATTTTCATCCAGCGGTAAGCGCTGATCGTTGGGGGAGACTCAAGGTTCTGTTTAAACATGCTGCTACGAGTAGTATGATTGACTAAAATGGATATTTCTGGCTTTTGGACATTGTTGGTAACAATGGCTATTGATCTCCTCATATTTTTAATGAAGTTGATTTGCACCATTTGCTTCATAGTCAAGCATAACATCGGCGAATTGAGCATACATGCTGTGTGCTGCGGAAATCTTATCCGTCCACTTGCATACACGCAACTGCCTATGCCGAATACCCACCAACGGACTTATTTAGTCGTTTTGTGGACCCACAAGGGGACGGGGGAGTGCTTTCAACTTTCGATTTCGTTTAGGTCATACTAAGAAAGGGTTCAGGACTTAGTCCTGTTGTTTCCCTGTATCTCCCTCTTCACCGAAAGCCGTTTATTTCTTCCCTAAATTTGGCCCTTCTTTATAACTTCTAGCCTCGCTACGCTATGTAGAGTGAACAACACGGCGTTTAACCGGATATACATCAACTTCGGGTAAGTAGTGACTGAGTGCTATTATTAACCTGTTATGTGTGACTGAAGTACAAGCTTGGTTTTTGTACTTTAAGCTGACGCTGTTTAAGTTGCCCTCGCAGAAGACAGGACTTA